GTAATAACTTGAGACAGAAAGACCCCTACTTGGTATTACATGGATCTCACAACTTTTTACAGCAGAAGAACTGAGTTGCGAGACTTGGTTTTTTTACAAGTTATGTTTTTGATGGCATCTCATTTATTTTTGTACTTATTCCTATTTTTTTCCTTTCTAGTACCATCTACTTCCTGAATACCAACTACGGATTTTCGGGCAATTTAGTCTACTTAATACTTTGCGGGATTTTGGTACAACTTCATAAGACATGTCCGATTCTTGCTTTTTCCTTCTGTTGACCATTTTATAAGTTAACTTTGAACATAATTATATCTAGGTACCTATCTACATCTATTACTCCATTATATAATACACATACAGATACACTGATTCGTTCACTGCAAATGTAACTTTGTAATCCTATATAAATATATTATGCAATATATTTATGCAGTTAGTGTATCTAGAAAACTGGAATGAAAAATATTTTAGGTTTTCCTTGATTTATGCACTAAGCACTAATCGTATTTGAAATTTGAAGCTTCTACGTCTGCTAGAAGTACCTTAGTTTTGATGATCGGCCAGTCAGTGAGTGACAAAATTAAGAAAATTTGACTTGATATAATTCTTAAACTACTGGTTCAAATTGAATGAAATTTGAAATACAGTTGTTTATACAGTGCATGCTTGGTTACTGAATTTCAGGCTTCTAGTTTTATCCACAACGAAGTTATAGGAGGTCGAAAAAGGCCTGAACTGCTTCGAGAAAAGTATGGTACGGCCGTGCTGCTTTTTTGCTCGACTTGGCGGGGGCACTGCCGTGCCCCCAAATATTCATTCTGTAAATACTAGGAACAGACACAAGCTAGCAGCACCAGTTACTCAACTCCATCGAGTCATTAATTTATTCTTGGGGTCATGTATGCGCTTTTACAACAAAATCCCAGAAAATATACAAAATTTGAACAGCTCGAGGTTCAAAATCTTTATTAAACTAAGTTTGTATTAAAATTGCTATTATAATATTAAGAAATTTATGGATGATAATAATCCCTGTGAATGAGGTGATCGCCACCAAGCTATTTCTAATTTGTTGTGTTGTTAATTGTGCAACATACATGATTGTAAGCTGTTATTTCAAAAAGTCCCGCTGGGTTTCTTGCTGGTTCTTCCCAGGACAGAGGTTTTTTTCGAACGAGTGGTATAGTGTTGTAAGTGAAATATAATCTATATTGAATAAAAAAGTTTCTGTTTCTATTTCACTTACAACACTTTCGTAAGATGATACTACCTACCCAGACAGACTCCTAGGCAAAAAATAAATCCTACCCAGGCTTTTCTTCTTCTTCACTAGCCCATAAAAGTCCACTGCTGGTCACGGGCCTATCCCATTGTGGAGAGGATTTGGATTGGCAATTGCGAATCCAAACGTCTTGCACTTTTATCCTGCTTCCCGTTGCCGGTCTGATTATTGTACGTCTGACGTAAACAAGATAGTAACACCACTGTCTAGCATAATATTACTTTTTCATTTATTGTGGCATTGGCTACAAGTCGTTCAGCTAAAAATAACACTAAACGTTGTATAATACAACATCCAACTTATAGATATGTTAATAAATTTCACCATAATATGTCGATGCGTCACATTGCGTGATTGCGCAATTTTTAACAGTGGTAGAGCCACGCGGCAGCTTTTGCTGTCGCACGGATGGGCCGGCTCGAACCGAGGTGGTACCACGACCTCACAGAAAACCAGCGTGAAGTAGAGGTTTACCTCTGCATTTCGCTTGGTGAGTGCAGGTGGCCGGAGGCCCTTTTTACTGGAAATGAGGCATTCCACCTTAGTCCTCACGGGTGACAACGCATCTACATTTTGATTTGTAATAGAGGATAGATGTAGATGTCTATGGGCCGCAGCAACCAATTACCATCAGGTGGACTGTGTGCTCGTTTGTCACCCTTATCGTATAAAAAAAAAATATATAAAAAATATAAATGACAGATTCAAGCCAGCAGACATTTGATTATAATAGTATCTCAAGGCATCTAAGTAGGCAAAATAATTTAAGGCTAATATCACCATCAGAGCACTAGTTTCACCGCCACTTTCACATATACAGACAGTAAATACATTAAATCGCATCACTTTTACCTTTTCAAATCCACTAGAAACCATAATTTGAACAAAAATGGTATTGATGTTTAAAAAAACTCCTCCTTATAGACGCCTCTCACGACACCCATGGCACGTAATGAAGTGATAAATTCTTTTAGACCGCCTCCAGCCATACTAATTAAATATAAAAGAAAAGTTACAAACTCGTATATACCCCCCATCATTAGCCTTGTTTTACATCCGAGTGGGTATTTTAAATAAACTAGAAAGTAAAACAGAAGAAGATAGAAATAAACTTTATTTTGACATAGACCATTGAGGCACACAACAATATAGTACAATCTAACTTACGTAAAATAAGTAGGTTTAATAAGTTTGACTTTATACGTATAAGATATACCAAGACAGGACACAAGGACACAAGGAAAGGCATGTTTTATGGTGAAATCAAATCGCTGATTTTTAGTTTTCTTTTTCCGTTTAACTTATTATATATAGGTAATTGTAGTTTTCTGCGATTGGAGTATAATACCTATTTAAAATTTTCAGTTAGTAATATTAGTTCAACTTTGTTGGGAATAGACACAGGCCTCTCCTAAGGCGTGCCACTTAACTCGATCTTCAACTAAACGCATCCAGTTTCTACCAGCCACCTTGCGCAGATCGTCGCTTCATCTGGTGGTTTTAAAGGCCGCCAACGCATCTGCAATTCCGCTGGTGTTGCAGTTGTTCATGGGCGGCGGTAGTCACTTACCATCAGGTGAGCCGCATGCTCATTGGCCCCCTCTTCTATAAAAAAAAGTCTTGCAATATGACTTCTCTTCTATGGAAAGAAGACGTGAGTTAACAACAGCAGCGTCATCGGAACAGGTGACATTATTAACCAAGCTTATGAGGAAAGCTGTGAGGTGGGACCTGCGTCGCTCTAATATATCTGCGATACAAGCGGCAATAGAGCGAAACAAGGGATCCAAAGTCTTTGCTCAGGAGTTTGGGGGAAGTCACATCCCAAGACTGCAGACGCATGATGACAAAGTTGAGGACTTTGTCCTCGCGTCAAAACCTGAGGTTCTCTCTGAAATCGAAGACTATTATGGCAAACTATTAGCCTCACATAAGTCACAACCTGACCCTAAATGCAATGATCCCAGAGCCATGCTGACCCGCTACTATACTGACGAGCTGCCAGACTTCTGCTTTGAGGAGATTGAGCGGACCCTCGGCCAACTTGAAAATGGAAAAGCCTTTGGAGAAGATTGAGTTACAACAGAGCTCTTAAAGGCTGGGAGTCAACCCTTGCTAAAAGAAGTCTGCCGAGTTACCAACTGCATCTTACGAGATGGAAGAACTCCAAAGGCGTGGCGCAGAAGCATTACAGTCTTGTTACATAAAAAAGTGACAAGACTATGCTGAAAAATTATCAACCCATCTCGCTTCTGAGCCACATCTAAGTTGTTTTTGAGCGTCATCATAAAATGACGCGCGCGAAGAGTCGACGACTTTCAGCCTGCGGAACAGGCTGGATGCATATGAGAAAGCAGCCTTTGACTCCATCGAAACTTGGGCTCTTCTGGATTATTTGCCAAATTGACTTGCGGTACATCGTAGTGTTGAGATGTCTTTACAACACCAGTACAATGTCCGTCCAAGTGCAGGCTAGTCAAACAAAACCAATCCAGTTGTATCGTGGAGAGACAGGGGGATGTTATATCCCCTAAACTGTTTACAAATGCACTGAAGGATGTTTTTAAGACGCTAGACTGGAAAGGACGCGGCATTAACGTAAACGGTGAGTTCATCTCACACTTACGCTTTGCTGATGATATCGTCGTCATGGCAGAATCGGTGCAAGATTTAACGGTGGAAGAGCCACGCAGCAGCTTTTGCTGTTGCACGTATGGACCGGCTCGAACCGGGTTAGTACCACGAGCTCACAGAATACCAGCGTGAAGTGGAAGCTCTGCTTCCGCGTTTCGTCTTGTGAGTGCAGGTGACCGGAGGCCCAATTCCCCAAGGAGGGTACCAGTACCCCTGGAGAATCCCTCGCTGAGCATCCACGACCATGCTATTCCACTCCTGAGCGTGGGTGCTCAGGCTGCCCCGCGTATTCTGGAGGGGGGGGCCAAATTCCGCTCAACACAATAACTGCTCGGGGCAAACTGAGCAACAAGACCAAGGCGACCCCTGCCACGCTATCCGTGAATTTCTGCAACATCAGGGGACTTCACTCGAACCTAAACGCCGTCCACTACCATCTCGAGACGGCGAAGCCGGCCTTGCTCTTTCTGACCGAGACGCAGGTGTCCTCTCCGGCTGATACTTCGTATCTCTCCTACCCGGGGTACAAATTGGAGCACTCCTTTGTCAGAGAGGACATCTGTTCTCGACGCCTCGGCAGTCTTGAAGGTTCGGACCTGTCCATCCTTTGGCTACGCGTAGACAGCGGCGACCATCCGCGCGTCTACGTGTGCCTCTATAGGTCCCATAGCGGTAGTGCCGAAACAGACCGACTCATCGACCACGTCCAAATGGCTACAGATTCCTTGCTACAACAGGTCCCATCCGCAGAGATCGTGATCCTTGGCGATTTTAACGCCCACCACGCCGAATGGCTCGGTTCACGTTTAACCGATCATGCGGGGAGATCTGTTTATGACTTTGCCTTGGCATATGATCTGACACAACTGGTTACATCGCCTACGCGGATTCCAGATGTTGAGGATCATACACCTTCCCTGTTGGACCTTCTGCTGACCTCTCATCCGGACGGATATCAGGTTTCCGTCGATGCCTCTCTTGGCTCTTCGGACCATTGTCTGATCCGGAGTGTGGTGCCACTCACGCTCCCCTCGCGGTTGCGTTCTACAGGTTTTTTTTTTTTTTTAATTTATTTATTATTAAATGTACAAAGTTTGGTTTTTTAATATGCATATTCCCGCAAAACTGCTTACGCAGTTTATCTGCAGGAACATTTGAGTCTCATTTACATAATAATGTTAAAGTTAAGCACTAAGACTAGCCAATAAGTGTTGCTTTAATTTGTTTTTAAATATGTTTTTTACTGGTTCACGTCGAATATCCTCAGGTAGTGTATTGAGAAAGTACGGTAGACGTTTCTTTAAAGTTCTGTCCCCGTAGTAATTATTTACTTTAGGTACTACAAATTTGCCTGCAGATTTCGACCGTGTACCCTGACCATGCTTAACTAGTATTAGAGTACGTTCTCGACAGTTGTAATTATTTAAGGCAAGTAAATACTTATGTTTTAAACTTACTGGAAGTATTTTGCAGATTTTGAACAATTTTGTGTAATCACCTTTACAGATATCTTTAGTTTTTTTATTAACTAGTAACTTTAAAAATCTAATTTGTAGTGCTTCAAGCTTATCGATGTAGATTTTGAATGTAAGACCGTAACTGTCAAGGGCGTATCCCAAAATCGAATCTACCAATGAAAAATATAAGCATTTTAAAGTAGCAGAAGGAACTTTAAAGCTTAAGTGATAAAATTTGCTTAGAAGTAATCTTAACTTATTACAAATATAATCTACATGGCTGGACCACGAGAAGTTAGTATCAACTTTAACACCGAGGTAGGTTACACAATCGACTTTTTTGATAGGCTCACATTGACAACTATTCTGACCATTATGGAGGCATTCAAAGTTATGACTATACATTTGAGGAGACGAGTCAGTATAACACATATAAGGTGACTGAATGATAAGAAACTTGGTTTTATCTGAGTTTAAGACGATGCCATTATCATGAGACCATTTAACTACCGAATCTATATCTTGCTGTATTAGGTGACACGTCTCCACTAGATTGGTACCAGCCCGTAGTGTACATAGGTCATCTGCGAACATGTATGCAGAGGAATACTGAAGAACGTCACATAGGCTATTAACATGTAGTAAGTAGCAAATAGGCCCACACCCCGAACCTTGTGGCACCCCGCATTTCACCTCATGCGCCTCACTAAGCGTGTCACCAACCTTTACACGGAAAATGCGCGATGTGAGATAGTCACGGAACCACTGGTTTAGCGGCTGTCCCACGCCACATTCGTCCATTCCATTTAAAAGTGTTTCTGTATCTAAGGTATCAAATGCTTTTTTGAAATCGTAAAAAATAGCAACAACAAATTTTTTATTTTCTAAATTCGAATTAATTTCATCAGTGAATTTTGATAATAAAGTATTAGTGCTTTTGCCCCTCTGAAAACCGTGCTGACATTCATTTAATATGTTATTTTTTTGCAAATAAAACCCTAGTTGATTTGTTATGCATTTCTCGATAATTTTGTCAATACTTGATAATATAGCAATTGGTCTATAGTTTGAAAAAACTTTTCGATCACCCTTTTTATGGACTGGACGAATTATGGCTTCTTTTAATTTATTCGGAAACCTATGTTGCTTTACCGACATGTTAACTATATTAGCTATGACGGGACTTACTTTGTCAACAACTAACTTTAAGTCTGACATCCGTACGAGATCAGTTCCCGGCGATTTATTTTTATCTAATTGATTAATCACACGTTTGACTTCTCCATTACTGACCGGTTGCCATCTCATACATACATCAGGTCTATCAACGTAATTGTCCCTTACTAACCATTTTTCTGTACATGTGTGCCTTATGAGGTCAACTTCACTTAAAAAGTTATCAGCAAACTTATCACAAATTTCTTTTACATTGCCTTGGTTTTCCATATTAGACAGTATTAAGTTGTCTAGTGATTTTCTATCATTACCATAAAACTATTTATCTTATCCCATAATTTCCTTATATTTTTGTTACAGTCTAGTATATTCTGTTTATCATATTCCATCTTACATTTAAAAATTGCCTTACTACATTTATTCCTATATTTAGTATAATTCAATCTTTTTATCATATTTTTTGGTTCATTGCACCATATAACAAATAACCTATCTCTTTTAAAAATCATTCGTTTTAAGTTTTCACTTATCCATTCTTTATTTCTAACACTTTTATTTACCCCAACTGTTTGCGATTTGTAACATTCATTATAAATATTAGTAAAAATACTAGTAAAAGCTTCGTACAACTCAACTGGACACTTAATGTTTAATAAATCATCAAAATTTGTTAAAAGTAATTTTTCTCTAACCAAACGATTATTCAGAACGCACCTATTAACAGAGCGCATTGGCATACGACTATCAGAGTGGGTGACATGACTCACAGAAGGAGCGCGTTTCCTTTGTATCGCTGCCGTGATATAGTAGTGGTCAGATACCTTATGTTTTATTACAGCTGATTCAAGTAATGATAAGGGTGCCCTTATATAAATATGGTCCAAACACGATTCTACAATGTTACCCATGACTATTTCCCTTCGTGTTACGTCACATATGCACCTGGCAAAACCATATTCCGCCATTATATTTTCATACAATTTAACATTGTTATCGTGGTATTTTAAAAGGTCTATATTTATGTCACCACAGATTATTGCTTTTGAGTGCTTAGGTAATTTGCCCAATAGATTTCTTATTTCAACAAAAAATTCTCGAATTCTGTCTTGGTTGCGGAATCGAGGAGGCCTATAAATAGAAATTAAATAAATATGCTCCCCATTAACGTTGAGTGTAATGGAAACGCACTCCGCCGAGCGCATAACACTTTTACTACCGCCGTTTCGCTTACACGCGCAGTGAGCTCAACCCGCGAATACACAAGTACACCCCCTCCGCTGCGTCCCTGTCGAGTATAAATATTAACTTTGAATCCAGGAATTTTGTAGAAAGATAATACAGAATAATTTATGTTTGGTTCAGTTATCACTATGACATCCAATTGGCTCAAATCACTACCGAGAGTAACTAGAAATTCATTGAAATGTTTTTTTAAGGATCGAATATTTACATGTAATAAACATAAGTCTTTGATATTGTGCAATTGTTGCACCCACGTATTTAAGCTATCAAGACACGTATAACTTACAGATTCATCGTGTAATATGGAGTCTATATTGCTTATGTCCGCGAACTTTATATGACAAATAAACACTATAATAACTAACTATAGTTATATTTTCACTTTTTGTTGAGTAGATCACAAATATCACTTTCAGCTCGCACGCATATTGCTTTTTCACCTTCACATTTCTTCACAAGAATTTTCCCGTTCGAAACCCATATGTATTTGTAAATTCCTTGGAGCTGTTTCTTAGTACACCATAGTAGGGCTCGCGTTGTCTTGGTCAAGTCTTCGTTTATGTAGATTTTGTTCAAAGCCGAACCATTTGTAATCATATTACTCGTCGTTTCTGATAAGTTGCGACGTTGGGCAAGCCAGCTATCCCTCGACCTGGTACCTGTAGTCTTAAAGCCCACGATAATGGACGCTGGTTTGGTACTTTCTTTTCGTGATCGAGTACGTCTAGCCCATTCTATATCCGAACTGCTCACATTGATAATATCTCCTATTTTTGAGACAATCTCTGTGACATTTTCACCGGGAAGCTGTTCAATACCTACAATCTCAATATTGTTTTTACGAGATGCCTGCTCGAATTCGTGTAATTTTTGTTCGAGGGCGGTATTTTGTTTTTGCAAATAGACGCTTTTGTTGCTGACATCAGCGATAGTTTTCTCAAGCTTATGTATTTTATCTTTTGATTGTTCATGTTCTACGATCAATATATCATACTTATCGGAAAGCATACTCAAACTTTGCGTAATGGAATCAAGTTGTTTTTTGAACCCGGGAATGGCAGCCACTTTTAGCTGTATGTCCTTGAGAATTTTAGTGTAGTCCTGTGAGTATTCCTCTTGTTCTTCTTCTTCCGATCCATCGTCTTCACAGTTATTACAATAGATCCGATTCCTCCCATTTTTTATGTCTGCCATAAGACCCTTAACACAACCTCTATGAAAAGTTCCTTGACACGGTCCTTGGCAAATGAAGTGAGATCCTTTTTTAGCTAAATTCTTTTTACATTTTTGACACTCCATTTTTGACGCGTATTCAACAATTACAGATATGTAGGTATATCGAAAGATTGCGCGAGCGCACCGCTTAAGGAATTCCCTGCGCGCGTACACTCGGGTCAGCGTTGAGAATGAGACTGATGCTTGCTGCCGTGTTTGGCATTACAGGTCGGCGGATTGGGACGGAATGCGGTCTTTCTTTGCTTCCTACCCATGGGGGCGGGTTTGCTTCTCGCCGGATGATCCCAGCGCTGTTGCTGACTCTGCCACTGATGTGGTGCTACAGGGAATGGAACTATTTATTCCATCATCTGTGGTACCCATCGGAGGCAGATTTCAGCCTTGGTTTGGTCGCTCCTGTAAGACTGCTTTACGCAGTAAGCAGAAGTGTTATCAAGCCTGGGCTGTGAACACCAGCATACATAAAAAGAAGTATAACTTCGCCTCCAGGTCCTTCAAAATAGTTATTGCCAAGGCAAAGTCAGAGCACATAGGCAGAATTGGCGAGAAACTAGTTCGCCTTCCTTCGGGAACCCGTTTATTCTGGTCTCTCGCCAAGGCTGTCCGAGGGCATTTCTGTAAGCCATCACTACCATCTCTGCACAGGGAGGACGACTCACTGGCCCACGACGCAAAAGAGAAAGCCGGCCTTTAAGGCTCCCTTTTTGCGTCCAACTCGACTGTTGATGACGGGAGAAACACACCCCCGACCATCCCGCGGTGTGAGTGCTCCATGCCGGATGTTCGGTTCTCACAGCGCTCGGTTCGCAGAGAACTCCTCTCCCTTTACATCCACAAGTCGAGTGGGCCTGACGGAATCCCCCCAATTGTGATGAGGACGTGTGCTCCGGAGTTGGCACCGGTTCTAACGCGTCTTTTCTGGTACTCCTACTCTCTAGGCGTAGTCCCGAAATCATGGAAGACAGCTTTTGTCCACCCGATCCCTAAAAAAGGCGACCGCTCAGACCCATCGACTACAGGCCTATCGCCATCACCCCCTTGTTCTCCAAAATAATGGAATCCGTTATAAACTGCCACCTCATGCGGTACCTTGAGGATCACCAGCTGATTAGTGACCGCCAGTACGGTTTTCGTCGGGGTACCGATCAGCTGGTGATCTTCTGGTCTACTTAACTCATAGATAGGCGGCGGCAGTAGAGTCCAAGTGGGAGGCATTGGCCGTTAGTTTGGACATTGCGTAGGCCTTCGATCGCGTTTGGCACAAAGCGCTTCTTTCGAAGCTCCCTTCCTATGGGCTTCCCGAGAAATTATGCAATTGGATCACCAGGTTTCTTGCAGATCGGAGCATCAAGGTCGTTGTAGACGGTGCATGCTCCGAGTACAAGCCTATTAACGCTGGTGTTCCACAAGGCTGCGTGCTATCACCAACGCTGTTTCTTCTGCATATCAATGATATGTATCAAGCCGGTAGCATTAATTGCTATGAGGATGACAGCACTGGTGATGCTCTATACACCAGCCGTGCCGATATTTCTCGGGAAAACGTCACCGAGTACCGGAACAAACTTGTGTCTGAAGTCGAGTCTTTGCTGAACAAAGTCTCGGATTGGGGGCGACTAGATCTAGTCCAGTTTAATCCTCAGAAGACACAAGTTTGCGCGTTTACCGCTAAAAAGAACCCCTTTGTCGTATCTCCTCAGTTTCAAGGTACTCCCCTTGTTGCCTCAGCCAGTATCGGAATCCTCGGCGTCGACATATCGAGTGACGTGCAGTTTCGTGGTCACTTGGAAGAGAAGGCCAAAATGGCCTCTAAAAAGCTTGGCGTGCTCAGCAGAGCGGGACAGTATTTCATGCCAGCTCAACGCCTGCAACTTTACAAGGCGCTGGTTCGGCCTCACATGGTATACTGTTCCCATATCTGGGCTGGGGCTCCCCAGTGCCAGCTCCTTCCACTTGACCGCATCCATCGCAGAGCGGCTCGAATCGTCGACGACCGAGTCCGTTCCGATCGGTTCGACCCATTGGCACTGCGAAGAGATGTTGCATCTCTTTGCATTTTCTTTCGCATTTACCATGGGGAGTGCTCTGAGGAATTGTTCGGATTAATCCCAGCCGCCAAATTTCACGAACGCACATCGCGGCAGAACTCCCGATACCATCCACACCATCTGGATGATTGGCGGTCCACCACTGTGCGATTTAGAATATGTTTTCTTCCTCGCACAACTTCCTTGTGGAATAGTTTACCACCAGCGATTTTTCCGGACGGATACGTCTTAGGGACCTTCAAGAAAAGAGCCTACTCCTTTTTAAAAGGCCGGCAACGCATCTGCAATTCCCCTGGTGTTGCGGTTGTTCATGGGCGGCGGTAGTAACTTACCATCAGGTGAGCCACATGCACGTTTGCCCCCTCTCCTATAAAAAAAAAGAACTTTAGGAAATGCTGAACAGACTGAATGAATCCTCCCGACGTGTTGGTCTGTGTATGAATCTGAACAAGACGAAAGCTATGTTCAACGATCACGTCATGCCAGTTCCAATTACTGTTGATGGTAAAATTCTCGAAGTTGTCCAGGAATATACCTACCTCGGGCAGATATTACAACTAGGAAAGAATAAGTTCGAGAAGGAAGCCGATCGGAGGATTCAGTTAGGCTGGGCAGCATTTAAAAAGCTCCGCCGGGTCTGTTCGTCGCCCAAAGTCGCTCAGCTAGGGATAGAAAGAACTGTGCTCGGAGTTAATCTGATAAATAAAATTTGTAATGAAGAAATCCGCCGGAGAACCAAGATTACTGATTTAGCCTTCCGTGTTTTCTTTTAATAGGATGGGGTGACAAACGAGCACACAGTTCACCTGATGGTAAGTGGTTGCTGTGATCCATAGGCATCTACATCTATCCTCAATAAAGAATCAAAATGCAGATGCGTTGTCACCCGTGAAGACTAAGATGGAATGCCTCTTTTGCATTAAAAAGGGTCAAGGTTAAGCTGCTATTTTACGCTGGTAGTCTGTGAGAGCGTGGTTGACCCATTCGTGCTATAACTATACCAATAATATAGCGCAGAGGTGATAACCGATAAAGTACACGTATTATGGAGTGAAGACCGCGTCTAGGCAAACATATTGTGGGACGCCCCCTGACCAGATGGAGCGACGATCTGCACAAGGTGGCTGGTAGAAACTGGATGCGTTTAATCGAAGATCGGGCTAAGTGGCGCGCCTTGGGAGAGGCC